TTGTGTGCCCAGGTACCTGATCCATACCATGAGGGTTTCTGTGTCGTTCCTCAAATCCTCTTATGGATATGTTAGGACAGGTTGGAAATTAATTCTAAATCTTTCCATCAAGGGAGGGTGTTAGAGGCGAGGGCTAGGGGACATTGGGTGAGTCCACATGAAAGTGATATTAGAGGAGCTAGGAGTAAACTGGTCTTGGGGTGTTTAAAAAAGAAATGGTTAACAGGAGTATGCGAATTTTACTAAAAAATATTAACCTATTTTATCTATCCAAATCCTCTTATGGATATGTTAGGACAGGTTGGAAATTAATCCTAAATCTTTCCATCAAGGGAGGGTGTTAGAGGCGAGGGCTAGGGGACATTGGGTGAGTCCACATGAAAGTGGTATTAGAGGAGCTAGGAGTAAACTCGTCTTAGGGTGTTTAAAAAAGAAATAGTTAACAGGAGTATGCAAATTTTACTGAAAAATATTAACCTGTTTTATCTATCTATCTATCTATATATATTTTATTGATTTTTTTTACAGAGAGGAAAGGAGAGGGATAGAGAGTTAGAAACATCGATGAGAGAGAAACATCGATCAGCTGCCTCCTGCACACTCCCCACTGGGTATGTGCCCGCAACTAAGGTACATGCCCTTGATCGGAATCGAACCTGGGACCCTTGAGTCTGCAGGCCGACACTCTATCCACTGAGCCAAACCAGTCAGGGAAACCTGTTTTAAGTGAATTCTACATTATAGGAAATTTTTAATTTAGAACTCATAACCCTGAGAAGCAGGTAGAAGGATTTTCCTGTTTATTGAACAGCTTGCCCCATGAGCCTGGCACTTTTGGGGATCATAATTTTTCTCTTTCCAACCCTGTCCCAGTTCCATTTTCTCATAGCTTAGTTATTCCACTTGAGACTTTGTGTTTCTCCTCCCAAGTGTATCATTAGCAGGGTTCTGAATGCCACATGCTCCGGAAGTATAGTGGGCTGCCTTCTTTATGTGCTGGGATTAAATGTAAAGGAAGAATTCATGTTGCTCAGACTTGCCAGTTGCTTCAGGCTTTTGGTGATGCGCTTAGCCCGGTTTTTTCCTTGGAAAAGAGAATATTAGGAAGAGGTCAAAAGTAGAAAGAGGAGGGATCAAAGAAATGCTTTAAGGAAAACAGTTTTAAGTACTTTTAAGTACTTTTATTTTCTTATTTGAACTTTATGAACATCTGCTTTTCTTCAACTAGCAGTACGAATGCTTGCATGAGATCCTGTTGATGCTGTTTGGCCCTGCCAGCAGAATTTGATAAGGATATTATCAAGTTCTCGATAGCTTTACATTTGATGTCAGTAACAAGCTGGATGAGCTCCATTACGCTAGTGCCCTCTACTAATCAAGTACAAGTAAAGTGAGCTCGGTGCTGCCTGCGCAGTAGGTGGAAGGACCTGGGGCAGGAAGATCGGCTGGAAAGCCGTCTCCGACAGCATGAGAGACTACGTGCAGGTCCCTGCGGCCGACCTCGAAAAGCCTTACGAGCTGACTCCGACCAGGGAGTCCACCGCATTGCTGTGCCTGAGTAGGTCCCGTGATTTCCTTGTCGTTCTGCTTGTGATGCTTATATGTTCAGCATTCTCTTATTTTAAGTATAGTCGATAGTTATTTCTTTTGTGATTATTGTCAGTCATTATAACCTTCAATATGGTCTCGTTTTATACAAACTCAAGTAAATGGCTATTTTAACCTGGTTTTATTTCTCTGTAGTTGGTAGTTTTTCAGTTATGCTAAGTGGTCAAGAAGGTGTTTTTGTTTGTTTGTTTGGGGTCCTGTGGGGAATCTTGATGTGATCTTTATTTTCTTGCTCAGAAGTGCATTCCTCATCTGCTAGGCACATTCCTGCAGCCTGTTCATTGGGCATGGAATGCGGAATGCTCAGATGTTTAAAGGGATTTAGAAGTTGTTCAGTACTTGAATGTCGTGTGGCAATGACCCCTTGAAGTCATCAGATAGGCTGGACTCCCAGCTCCTCTCCTTGCCAACTGTGATGGGACAGATGATGCCCCTGGGCCTCTCTCCTCATTCACCAGAGGGGAGTGACCACCCAGCGAGAATGAGCGCAGCACATGAATAATGTGGTAGGTGCCTAGGCTATCACTGCACACATCATGTCCAGGAGAGGCAGGTACCCCCTGTGCTGACGTTCTGGAAGCTTCTGTGAATCACCTGTGAAATTGGTTGAGTTTTATTTAGGTGGTTGCTCTACAGCAAAGGCTTTGCCAATGTTGGGAATACTGTCTCAAGGGCCTCAAATACCTGTTAGGCTTCTCTTACTGCACTACCACCAATAGCTAGCCTTTTCTTGACTGCTTACTGTATGTTACACCCTTCATAAGAACGTCACATATAATTGTATTTAATTTCCCAATAAATATGAAAAATGCATGGTTATGCCTATGGAACTACTGTGGAAATGCATGCGAAGAGAAAGTAATCCGCCCACCCCAGGTCTGTCTGTCTGTCTGTCTGTCTCCAGGGCCTGTGCCCTTTAACACCATGCTCCCTATTTGGCATTTTGACTTTTTATTCAGCTGTCTCCCTCAGTAGACCTAAGATTTCTGAAAGTAGGAACTTGATACTGTGTGTATCCCAAGTTCAGATTTTTTGAGGCCTCTTTAAGCGCAATATATAATATCAGAAAGTGTCAGCGTGACTGACACTTCATAGCGTATTAAGAATCCTTAACTACTGAGCATAATGTAACTACCATCCTGATGGCAAACTGGGAGCCCTGAGACCTGTTTTAGCCCCTTTGCTATGACAGCAATTTGAATTTACTGTTTGGCCTCACATTAGTGTTCGCAAAGTGTCTTTTCATTTTCTTACCAGACTATAAGCTCCTTTTGTTGTAGCAGTACCTGGGCTAGTGCTCAGTGCCCTGCAGTAAGTTTGGTTTTAAGTTCTTTCAGTGCATTGACATTTATCTGAAGTATATTTGTGTTACGTATAATGAACACAGAAACCTGACTTGCTTATTTGGCTGTTACCCTTGATTTCCTTGGTAATAATCAGACCTGTGTTTTGATTTTGGACTCTAAAAAGAGTGCAGATGTTTTTGGTGTTAGTTAATATGGGGGGAAAAATCCCCCTAATGGATTCTTTGCCATTTGTTTTTTCTTCTATTAAAGTAAAAAGCATCCTAAACAATGGATAGCATTTTATATTACCAGCCTAAGTATAGACTACTGAGTTATTCACTGGTTTTTTTTAATAGCAGATTATAAACTCCTCAGGGGCAAGGAGCTTGTGTCTTTCATACTTCCTTTTATCTTTGGCATCTAGCATGATACCACGTAGTAGGTGCAAATGACATATTGGGCAGTTGATTGATTTGACCACTAATATCTACTGTGTTGTAGAAAGAGCCTGGGCTTGTAGAGTTAGCATTGGGTTCTCACCCAGCCACTGCTCTTGAGTGAGTTACGTGGTCAGTTCTGCTGCAGTTATATACCTCACTAGTTTGCGAGTATGTTAAATGACGTATGCATTGTTTATGTGTGTAAATTTGTGCATGTATGTTTTGTGATTCCTAAAGATGCTGTATGCATCTTAACTGTCCTGCTTTCATCATTTCTTTTCATGGCTTCAGTCTACTGCAAATCTGGACCAGTCCTACTTGTTTGGCCTGTGCTGGGCACTCGGTTGACGTTGGGTATTGACTGCATGCGGGAACTATGCACACTTCATGAGCAAAGAGAGATCTGGACAAGTCTCCTGCATAACGTTACCTGATCAGAGAGTAGCAGATGTCTGCTTAGATCCGAGTTCTTTTAACTTGTTGCTCAAGTGTTCTCTCATCCCATACTTTGGTTTTTAAATACATACAAATGCCCACTTATACAGCGACACATATAACTCCAGTTTCATCAATTATGAGAATAAATTTATAATGGTTCAAGACCAATATTCCTATGAAGTTATTAGTTTGCAGAACAAGAAAACTGATCCTTCCCACTTACATAGTTCTTCCAGAGAGCTGAAGTGCCTTCCCCGGGGCCATGTAGGAACTTGAGTTAAAGAATTGGAATGAGCCCAGGGCTTCTGGATCCAGACCCATTGCTCCTTCCAAGACATCAGCAACTGAGAATATGTACAGCAGCCTGTGAGGATTTTAAAAAATTCCTGGACTTACCTTGAGCTTGTTTTCCCATCTGTTGGTAGTTCCTTATATGATCATTGCGTAGATACAAGTATTCACTGTTTTCACCAGCTGTAGTAGGAGTGAACTGTCATTTTAAGACCACTGTGGCTGGAGCTGAGTGGATTGGTCAGGCAGGGGTGGTGGTGGGTGAGGGATTCTGGAGTGTAGGGGACACGAAGAGTAGTATGAGATGAGATCCGAGAAGAGGTAAAGGAGATACAAATTATGTTGTTGCTTTATAGGATGAAGTTGGCAGGTGTGTGCATGTGTGTGTACATTTACACACGCCCCAAAACAATTTGGTCTGGAACTTTGCAATAACTCATTAGTATATTCATCTTGACCTGGTGTCTTTGGGGAGGGAAGAAGAAATTTAACCTTTTCATTTCTTAATCAGTAATTGAATCTGCGTACTTATTTGTGGCATTTTAAACTCTCCCCCTTCATTTTAAATAACCCATTAAAACGCAGAAGCTTAGTTTCTGGGTCCATTTACAATATGAATAACCCCTGTACTTTGTGCTTTTCTTCTCTTTTGAACAGGAGTGTGTTGCTGCTGTTCTGCTTTGCGTCCTCGCTACAAACGCCTGGTGGACAACATATTCCCTGAAGACCCGAAAGTAATTTGATCTACATCTGCTGATCCTTCTCTTTGCTGGCCCATCCTTCCCCTGCTGACCCCCCTCAGGGTCCCTAATTTCGTTTTCCTACTTTTACTCCTGAATCTCACCATGCACACTACTATTTTATACTTCTCCTTCTTTTGCTTTAAGATGACCTACGCTTGCTTGTCTAATTTTCAGATCCTTTTCATAGATTAGGCATGAATTTGGAATAGTGGATAGGTGATGTTCTTTGTCTCTATAGTTCCTGAATTTAAGTAATACTCATCAGAATTTATGAACTGGTGCCAGAGTATTTGTATGAAATGCTAAGACTATAACTGTGAACACAGACATGGCTCTCTGCGCTCACCACACTCCTAGACAAGTGAATGGGCAGTTACAGTATGGCGGGAAAGAGAGAGGAAGTGCAGGAGGGTGCTGCTGGAGGGGCTGGAATGGCATCTGGTTTGGGTTTGGGTTTGAAGGAAATGAAGCGAAGATTCAAAGAATAAATAGAGTTGGCCACACAGTTTTTAGAAGAGAATTGAGATGTAAAGTAAGAACCCTCCGGGCAGAGTTTGTCCTCCTTTTACTGAAATTCTTGTAAATTTTTTATAAAAGTCACTTTACTGTGGAAGATTACTGGTTTCAAGGCACCTAGGTTTAGTTTAAATTTTCCAAGACTTCTTTAGTCTTGTGTTAATGGACATGAATAAAAATTGTTAACGTGTTTGATTTCCAGAATTTGCTTTATTTTAAAATGTAGCCAACTATAGAAACCTTTTGGCTATCTTAACAATTTATATATCTCAAGCTATATCTCATTTTTAGCCAAATCTAATGTAAACATCCAGCTATTTAGAGGAGGCTAATCAGTTAAATGCCATGGGCTGCCAGATATTCTGCATAATATGTGGCATATAAAAAACCCTGAGATGTGGTTCCTGCCTTTAAGGAGCTTTCCATCCATTGGTTTAGAGCAAAACAGACTGAATATTAAATCACAGTGCATAAATCAGCAAGTGAAAATGTTACGTGAAGCAGGTGGTATTGTTTCCCATAAAGCAGGGGTGGTGTCAGTGGGTTGGAACCTCTGGGAAGCATTCTCCGAGAAATGAGACTTTCTGAGCTCTGAAGGATGTACACCATCTGGAGAAGTCGAGGTTAGTTTCTTTGTTGCAAGTAATGGGCCATGTGAGAGAAAAGGCCTGGGAAAGCAAGAGAGAGGTACATTTGGGATCAAGAACCTTCAAGTTGTAGAGTGTTGGGTGGTAATCATGTTGAGCACAATTTCTGATTTGAAATTCCAGAAGTGTTATTTAATGGGCTGAATATTCAGATCATTTCTCTCAGTTGTCTGAAACAAATGGTTACTAAAGATCTAGAGGAATGGGATTGACAGGCAGGCTGTCTAGTTTATGCACTTTCATTTGTGGGTGGTGAGGGAGCTTTGAAAACTTGACCATGGGAATGATGACAGGTAACTTAGAGAATGATTACAGGAAGAATATTTACCAAGTATTTAGATAAGGTTTATTTAAATAGCAACTTGTAGAGGAAAATTAAAAAGGGTTTAGATGAACCTTGCATGCACAGCTCAGTTGACCACCTTTCTTAATTTTAACTTATTAAACAAAAAAAAATCTTCTCTATCCAAAATGGATCGGATAGTAGGTGCCCAGGCACGGAGGGCTTCAGTCATAGTTCCAGCCTTTAAAGAGCTCTCTAGTGAGAGGCAGATAACCACCCATTTCTTAAAATTAGTAGCAGCATGAACAGTGTCTCATTGTGCAGTAGAAATTATAAATAGTACTTATTTCATAAGGACCTCATGAGGATTAAATGAATTAACACAATTCTTTGCTCACGTTGATTCCTGGTGTCCATCACAAGTTAGCTCCTGATTAGCATACTGGGGGTTCTGTGGATGTATACAGCTGTCATATTTCAAATGATATATACATGGGTGCAGATTATTGTATATAAATTATTCCTCATTAAAATTAGTAAGGGGTAAAAAAAGTGGATGAGATGCAGCCATGTTAAATGATGATTTTTTTAGAGTAATTCATTGCTTATGAAGGTATATTTCAGTGCTTTGTCTAAATGGGGCATTTCTTTGACTTCTTTAAATTCTGTGTATCTAAAATGGTGAGTGTTAGCATTAAGAAAGCTATGTCCAGAAAGGTTCAGCATAAATATGGCTTAGTCACCAATCCAGAAAGGGGAAATATGCAGCAAGCAATACTTAGAAATAAAAAAAAATAAGCATGAAAACATAGATAACCTGTTTAACTTGTTATTATTTTTAGGATGGCCTTGTTAAAGCTGATATGGAAAAATTGACATTTTATGCAGTATCTGCTCCAGAGAAACTGGATCGAATTGGTTCTTACCTGGCAGAAAGGTTGAGCAGGGATGTTGTCAGACATCGTTCTGGGTAAGAAAACTCATTGCTGCTAATATCGTGTCTTGGAAAATTATCCCCAGGTTACATCATCGTTTAAGTTATTTTGCCGTCTAGTCAGGCAAAAGTGATAGGTAGATGATAAGACACTGTAATACCACACTAAGAAATGTGTAATATCATATAGATGCTGCAGCTTTTATTACTTTCCTGATGCTCAGATTTTAAAAATAAACTCATGATAATTAATGGAGTCGCCTTTAGCTGAAGCGTCCATTAATTTCTGAGACTTTTTAATGGTAATAGTAGAAACTGACTCCCTTACTCTGTTAGTCTGATACAGTAATTTAAAAACCAGTGTCTAAATTGAAAACAAAGAAAGATCCTGTTAACCAACTGATTTGTGTAACACAGTTTCAGTTTTACCTGTCAGAAGAGTACTGAGAGAACTGTGGTAGGCTTGGGTACTAAGGTTCAGAAGTTGAAAGCATGCTGATTTGAAATGGTGCGTTGTGTCCAACTACCTGTAAGTAAGTTCTACCACCTTAATCCATTCTCTGGGCGTGAACAGTGATAACCTGGATAATTGGAGGTACTACTTTCCCATATTGTCATCCTGTGATCCTGGTTTTTAGGGCACTCTATTCCCCAAGTGATTATTGGCTTTCTCCACTTCCAAATTGTTACCACGTAGAACATTTTGGGTGTCTTCATACAATAGTTTTATAGTTGATTGTTGAAGCAAAGTTTACTGAAGTCTGAATTTTAATTTTTAGTAGAAGCTTTAAAATTCTATGAATTGTTAGGTAACATTTCCTTAACTGTTGTTGCTGATAATGTTTTATATATTCACGTTTACAAATATAAATAGATTATGTTGGAAATTTAGGCACATTGCTTATGATATTTATGGTTACAAAGAAATATGGTTAAAAATCTGGAAAACAAAATGTCCTGTTTGCAGAGACAAATATATGCAAAGGTCCTGTTAAAGAAGCTGTGGCAGAGTTCTGGTCAGAAGGAGGAAATGCAGGCACGCTGGCTGGTTTTCCTGTCCCTCAGCATGAGGGCTGTTTCATAACCTAAGGCCATCAGTGCTGTGAAAAGGAAGATTTCCCCTAGAAACTCCTGAATTTGCCCTGCTGTGTTTTGTGCATTTTAATAAACTCATTTTAATTTTTCCAGTGAAAAGCACTTAGATTTAAGACAGCTAGAAAGGCTTTGACATTGTTTCTCTCTTACGCGTAGGTATGTCTTAATTGCTATGGAGGCATTGGACCAGCTTCTCATGGCTTGCCATTCTCAAAGCATCAAGCCATTTGTAGAAAGCTTCCTTCATATGGTAGCAAAGCTGCTGGAATCAGGGGAACCAAAGCTTCAAGTTCTTGGAACAAACTCTGTGAGTAAAACGGTTGGCTTAACTGATTTTAAATTTAATTAGCGTATTCAGAATTAATCTCTCTGAGAACATCTTCACCTTAGAAGGGCACAGACTCTGGTCAGGGCCTTTGGCACCAGTACAGATGCAGACGATGAGATCCCTTTGTCTCTAGTTTTGCTGTTGCTCCTTGCGAAATCTGTGATATCAGCCCATCGTGAGGCAACAGAGAAGATCGGTTGGCCATCAAAGTAAGGGAGTATTTCCCCAGGCTTTCTCACATGACTTCTGAATTATTGCTGCTCACCACACTCATTTTCTTCTATCCTAAACCAGAGCTTGTTAAGCATATGTGGGGTTGGAGAAGGCATATCTGAAAAGGAAAATAAAATATAGGGATAATCTTTCTTGTCTTTAGTTTTATTACATAACTAGAGGCCTGGTACATGAAATTCGTGCAGGGGGTATGGGGGCGGTGCCTCAGCCCAACCTACACCCTCTCCAATCCAGGAGCCCTCAGGGGATGTCCTACTGATGGCTTAGGCCCGCTCCCCATGGTTCTCTGCTGTCTGTAGGGCCTGCTTGGCCACTCCCGGGTCACCGCAGCAACGGCTCTGCTCTCAGCGGCCGCCCCCGGGACTGGAGGACTCCAGCAGGGCTGAGAGGACTGGCCACCACCATCTTTTGTGTTGGAGTGATGGTTAATTTGCATATTACTCTTTTATTAGCTAGGATGTTCAGTCTTTCAGTTCCATCTTCATCTCTGAGGAAGCTTTCAGGCATTCGGCCAATCTATATGTTCCCATCCAGGTTTTTATCAACTAATAGACGAATTAAAGCTAAAAACTTGTCCAAAGACCCATTGAAGTAATGCTGTGTATAGCTGGGATTCAGTGTCGGGAATTTCATTGCTGCTGTCTTTTATTGTACCTTTTGAAACATAATCTAATTCTCCAATTTTTAAGCGAAAACTAGGGATTATTTTTTTGTTGAGTATATACTATGTACAAGGCATTTTGCTAACTTTTGTTTGCTTCTTATTTGAACCTCTCAACTGTGTAAGTTAAATATTCCATTTCACAGGTCACACATTATGTTAGCAAATCCAGGTTCCAAATCTAGAGCCATCTAATAGTCTGTTCCTAATCTCTGCACTGTACTGTGCCTCATTTTCCTTCACCCTCCATCTGAGAAGTGTATTGTAGTGCAGAGCATATTGGTTTGGAGTTGGTTAGGGAGCTTCCAGAGCTGCAGGAATGAGAAGGCTTTTCCATGAAGTCAGCAAGGAGATGGGCTTGTGCCTTCCCCTGGAGGGAGCTACTGCTTTCAACCCACTCGTTATGCTCAGGGGCAACGGGCTGTTTCTGGAATGATCACACAGACCACACCATTATTTGGGGCTCCAGTAGATTAAAAGAGAATAAAGTTTCCCTCCTTCTAAAAGTTTTTGTAGAACTTTTAACATGTTAGTGGCCAAATTTTTATTTCTGATTAAATTTTCTAATTTTAAAAGTAATGTAAATTTATTGTAGCAGATTTGGAAAATTCTTTTTTTAAAAAAAATACATTTTTATTGATTTCAGAGACAAGGGAGTGATGGGAGAGGGAGATAGAAACACGCCCCACATTAGGGATCATAGGTCGACGCTCAACCACTGAGCCATGCCAGCCAGGCTGGACAATTCTTAGAAAATGTAAAAGAGTAAACAAATTAAAGACACCTGTAATTCCAGTATTCAGGAGCAATCCTTTATATTTATTCTTAAAATACATATTAGAAAATGAGGAACATATTGTGTATAGACTTGTGTGTGTATGTTTTTTATGTTTTTAAAGCATTTCTCATGTCACTTAAGGTTTATTTTTATGAAAAGTATAAATATTTGGTTTAATATTTTCCAAAATTATTCATTTGGTTAGTGTGCAGTTTGGGAATCTTGAAAAGTGGAGTCCAACTCCAGGACTGTAATGCCAATTTCACTATTTACTATGTCACTGTGGGCAAATAATTTCACCTCTGAATTTCAGTGTTCTGATCTGTAAAATGGGGATAAACAACACATTCTTTTCAGTGTCATTGGAGTAATTAAAAAGAACCTGTGAAAACACCTAGCTCAGAGTATGATACAGAAGGTAACGAACTTCAGTTCAGTCTCAAGCAAGTGTATTATTTGTGTCTTTTTTCTAGATAATGTGAATCATCTAAGAGTATAATTTAAAAGGGATGGCAGCTCTGGCTGAATTAATTTAGAATATTTTTGGTATCACAATTTCATTCTTTAAAATTTATCTACGCTATTTCAGTTTTGTTTCTCGGAAAGTATCAGTAAACTTGGTTGAATAATCCTTTTGGATGTAGCCCTTTATAACCAGCAGTCTAGAGCCTGGCAGGTGTTTACATATATATTTAAAGTTGCAAGTAAATCAATAGTTTATTGCTGTAGGCTATTTAGTGTCCAGAATTAAAAAATCCTCAAATGAATAAGAAAGCTAATGAGAAGAGATGGTACATATTAAGGAATCTTAGGGCCAGGCCTATGATTCATGTAGGTATTTAAAATTTTCTAGACATGGATATTTCCTTTTTTTTTTTAATCTTTAGAAAGGAGGTAGAATGAATTCTACCATCTCAGTATTTTTCTCCTCTACTGAGTTTATGTTTCTTTCAGTTTATGTCCCCTTTTCCTTGTCCTATAGTTGTATAAAGGTTATTCACTCATGTGTTGTGTATAGAAAGCTGTCCAGAAAGATTTCCTACTCACAATTAAGAAAATTCCTTAGGTTGGGCCTGAGAGGGCAGCACTGAAGCCAGCTCCCAGGAAATGTAGGCGAGCTTCAGAGCAAGGCCTTTCCTTCTAGACTTGCAGGGGTGGGAATCTTTTCTTGCCAAAGGCCAGTTGGATGTTTATAACGTCATTCGCGGGCCATACAGAATTATCCGCTTAAAAACTAGCCTGCTATATGGGGTCAGACTTTTCATTAACTCACCCCTGATGCCTTGGCAGGGCCAGACCAAATGATTTTGTGGGCCTTCTGCAGCCCAAGGGCTAGACGTTCCCCACCCCTGTTCTAAAGAGTCAGCTCATTCACTCAGAAGGAACTGGATTAGCAGGTTATAATAATATATATAATGCTATAGCCTTGATTTTCTAAAGTTCTTTGTTCAAAAATTCTTTTTATATATGTATGTGGTATTTATGATAAGTGCTACTTATTTGGACATTGCTTGTTAATGTGACAAGTAATAAATGAAAATAAATGTGTTTGGTCCACTTTTAAAAAGGTGGTAACGTATTTATATTGTTTATTTAGTTTGTCAAATTTGCAAATATTGAAGAAGACACGCCATCCTATCACAGACGTTATGACTTCTTTGTATCTCGCTTCAGTGCCATGTGTCATTCCTGCCATAGTGATCCAGATGTACGAACGGAGTATGTATTGTTTAACTTTATAATTTAAAGGCATAGCACGATTTATTAATGAGTACCATGCTTATATATTACATAATAATTGCTAAAGGAAACATGGAAATACATGCTTTGTTCCTGAAGTACAACTTCTTACTGTTAGAACTGACTGAAGTAGCAAAATTGAGCATGGTTTCTTAACTCATCGCAAATAAAGTTCAGTCTTTACTATGGTAACCCCCAGTGTCAGAGCCTGTCATCCTATCTTTCTTCCTCCTTATATTCTAACCCAGCCACTTCTGGAACACACCAGGCACACTTTTCCCAGGCCTTTGGACTGAGCGGTCTCTGTAGAATAACTCCCAGGCACCCTGCTTACCTCGCTTTGTTCACATTTCTGCGAATGTCGCCTTATCATGAGAGTCCTGCCCTGGCCACCTTTTATTTGTTAAATATTAACCCTCCTATCCCATCTCAGTTACTCTGTCTTCTGCTCTTCTGTGGACTCTGAACTCCAGGAGGGCCACAGCTTTATTTTGAGAACTGCTGTATCACTAACACTTTGAATTGTGCCGGGCGCATAGTAGGTTCTCAGTAAGCGCCTTTTGAATGAATGCATAGATTGAATGGTATGTTACTAGTCATTGTCAATCTCAAGTTCTCATAACAACTAATTTGAGCATTTTTAAACATTTTTCCTAAATGCAACCTAGTAATAATCTATAATCAAATACTGATCTCCAAACACAGTCTATACATAGGCTGAAAGTTAAGAATTAAAAATAAAAATTACCCTGGTAAATAAAGTAATTTGGGCTTTTCCATAATACACTAGACAGAAAGAAACTAACCTGAATTCATAGTTATGTGGGGCCAGTTTAGCAAGATTTAGCATGCTTTGTTATTTTTACTTTTCTTTAAAAATAAATAAGGGAATGTGCAGAAATACAACTAACTAGCTTTTAGTGTGTAACCTGCAGTCTTGGTTTACACAAGCAAAAGCAAGTATAAAAGTTATTTTAACTTGGGAGAAAGAAAGTTGAGAGATTTCAGATAGATTTGTTTCTGTCTGAGATGCTGTTAGTATAATTTTTCCTCAAGGCCATTTAGACTCCTAATGTTCTTCCTTTATTATGAGGGTAAAACCTTAGAAATGTAAAGATAACTGTAACTATCTTGTAATAATTGATTTCTTATGTCTCCCAGTCACCACTAAAATATCTTTTTTGACCCCTAAAGGACGTTAAAAATGTTTTATAAAACTGTTCCCTGTTTTCAGGGGCTGACATTAAAATGTTAATGGGGAAAAATAGTATAAAAATTAGCTAAAGAAAATGGCAATTTTTAAAGATTATAACAATTTTGCTTTCTTTTAAAATACAGAAATGTTTGATCCAGAATGTAGTGTTTTGTTTTTTTTCAGTTTAGTATTATAAGGATTAATAAACTGCACATAGACATTTTTTAAATTTTGGTTGAGGTGAGTTTCACATATAAACCAGTGTAGGTGAAAAGTGTTGATGAGATCCATAAAATTAATGAAAGGATGCATTTAAGAAATTCAAAATTTTAGTACATTATCTTACTTTTAAGTATGTAGCGCCCCCTACTGAAAGATCTTGTCTTTTGAACATTTTCATGTAACAATTTTCATTAATGTTTACAAAAAGAAGCTTGACATTTTCTATACACAAGTGAGAGGCCTTGTAGTACTTTTTTCTGACTGGATGTTTTTCTAGTATTTTGTGATAATTGAAATTCCAAAATGACAAGATTTCATTTGCAGTCCCTGTAAGACAAATGAGTAAACTAAAATGCTTTGCCATACTTAGCTGGCTAGATTTTTCCTGCTCTGCCTTAACCCCTTCCCCGGCAGAAACGTGTATACTCGTTTTCACAAAATGTTCTTTTTCAGTCGTCGACGAGTATACTAAGAAAATATGGTAAAAAAATATGGTTTATAGGAAGACGAGTTACAAACTGTTTTCATAACCAGCATCAAAAATACTATATAGAACCAAAATAAAAAAATTAGTCTGAAAAAGAAACGTTTTTAACAAAAAAATTGTTGGGGAAGGGGTTAAGTCAAAGCTCTTTTGGTTTTCTTCAGGGATATTTGTATTCCTCTTTAGGTTTTGGCTGCGATACTTATTATCAATCCCTTTAATTTAGCAAAACCCAACCAGATAGAACTCAGGGCCTCTGTGGTGGGAAATGGGGAATGGGTCTGATAACGGTTAAGATTTTCTTAAAATATTTGTCTTGCAGGAGCAGATCTCACATGTAAAGTCATGCATCACAGTCTTAAACTCTCATTTCCTGAGCAACCTTCAGCTGTGGTAGAAATAATCATTATCATCACTGCTTAACTAACACTTATTGAGTGCTTACTCTGGGCCAATTTGTTTAACCCTTTATTGACTGAGCACTTTACATGAATTAATTTATTCAAACCTTAATTCATTCAGATATTCCTATGCTTTAGGTAAGACAGTTGGTCTTGTTTACTGATAAGGAAACTATAAAATTTCTTTGAGGTCATGACTAGAATATATTGGTTAGACCAGATACTAGACCTGAATTGGATGCCAGCTGGGTAGCTGTAATAGCTATAGGTAGTCCTACCTCCCCCAGACAGGGGCAGCACACTCTGCTGTACTCTTCAGGCTACTGTGTCACGAGGCACCAGCCACCATTCTTGTGTCATCTTGTTTGCTCCACCTTGTCATCACCCAAGGAGTAGCAGTAGGTACATAAAGCAGACACCGTGTAGTAACGTCAGGCTTGCCCACTTGTGATAGCCGTAGAGTCTCTCACCCTTTATGTCTTAGGGAGCAGCATGAATAGACACAACTTCAAGACAGGCAGACTTTGTCTCTGAGTCTCCCAGTTCACTTTCTCACCTGTTCAGCATTGTGTTACTGCCAGCTCCCATTCTCCATCTGCTTCCCCTGAAGGCCTGTGTCTTTTCCCCAGGGGTTTGGAAAGCAGTGCCACCCTCGTCCCATAGCTGCCATTCTCTAACCCTTCTCGTAGGTGTTGGAAGACAGTGCTGGATAAGCTGAATAGACCTTCAGTGGTGGATAGTTTGGTTGTAGTGAAAAAGAAAGTAAGCAGATTTGGCCAGAGGGAACATGTTTTAGGGCAAATAGGCTACCGTGCTATTTTCTAGTCACTTCTTACTCTTGAACCTATGGATGTTTTTATATATGTAAGAGTGAGGAAGAGCTTGAGGAAGTTGGGGCTGTGGATCGGGATGGGAGGGTGGGCTGCATTGTCTCATTGAGGGATGAATTTTAAGTCACAGAAGCACATGGTAATGTAAATGTCAGTACGCACAGGTATAAAGGGACGTACACATATGGCTGAGGTTGTCTGCACTCCCTGGTGATAGTTCTCACTTGTCAGACCTGGAAAGGAACCAGCCTGGTCCTGCAGTCTTCCATCCAGAAGGGCTCAGGGCGGGAAGGGCCTCTCCGGAAGCAGCATGGGAAAAGTCTGAGGAAGCACTCAGGGTGCTCGGAGAGAGTGAAATCCTGTTTGCTCAGCTTCTGAGATGTGTAGGCAAGAAAGGGAGAGAATCTAGCTCATTGCTTTAAAGTATTACCATCCTCTTAGGAAACCAAATGCTTTTGATTGATTCTTTTACTGAAATTATATGTAGACTAGATATTACTGTATTTTACGGTCCTTTTAGACTTAAATGCTGACTTTTAGAAGATAGGGCTGAAAGGAATACTCTTTTGGAGCTGCCTTATCTCTTTGTCCATCTTAGATTTCTGAGATTTTAATTTTTTAGACTTGTGTTATTTTCATTTTATTGACTTGAGATAACAATATTTTGGGGGGATTCATTCTCTTAGCTAAACAAGCAGACTTGTTTAAATAACTTTTTTTCATGATTCAATTTTCTTTTTTATAGAATTCGAATTGCTGGAATCAGGGGTATTCAAGGCGTGGTTCGCAAAACAGTTAATGATGAACTTCGGGCAACCATTTGGGAACCCCAGCATATGGATAAAATTGTTCCATCCTTGCTGTTTAACATGCAGAAGATAGAAGAGGTCGACAGGTATTGGATAAGGGCATTAGGGCTGGGGCTGCGTGACCTTTGTATGAATGAATGGGTGCTTGCTCGCTAGGCTAAGAAAGTTTTGTCTTTAGTATCATGTAAAAGTGGTCTGTAAACCTGAGAGTGAGTAAATATATGCCCTTTCTTAAAGATTATTTGTCTTTTGTAATCACACTAGGCTTAGTAGACCACAGATTTTCACTCACACACTTCAAGTTTTATTTGTTTTAGAATAATTTTATACTTTATTTGCAGCTTATTATTGACCATCCAAATTGTTATTTGAATTACTATTACTTAAAGTTGCAAGTGTAAGAAATAGAAATTAGAGCTAAACTTTTGTTATTCTTTAGAGATCTAGCTTACTTTTCATGGAGTTAGAAATAACCAAAATAATAATAATGATAGTAGCAGCTATTTACTTTATAATTTTCTCAATAAAAAGGTTAAACTGTGTTTATTCCTTGCTCATTCTTGAAGATATTTGCGCATAAAAAGAAAGTGTCATTTTGCCATTTCTGAGAAGTAAAATCTGTTCTGTTTAACTTTAGACCAGTGTTAGAATTCTTACATTTGTGTTTATTATTTCTCTTTCCTTCCAGTCGCATAGGCCCTCCTTCTTCTCCCTCCGCAGCTGACAAAGAGGAGAATCCCGCTGTGCTGGCCGAAAACTGTCTCAGGGAGCTGCTGGGTCGAGCGACTTTTGGGAATATGAATAATGCTGTTAGACCAGTTTTTGCGTAAGTAGTTGGTATTTTCCTGGTTATTTGTGACTGTGCTGTATTCTGTGTTAACTTACTTACAGAGGACAGTACCATTTCTTGTATGAGGGAGTTACTAATGGAACAGTGGAGCATTGTGGGAAGAGTGCAGGATTGAGTCACATACCACACGTTTGAGTTGGTCCAAAAGCTTCCCCAGCTTTTTCTCCTTAAAAGTGAAGTGCAGTCATGTGCTTGATGCCATGTGCATCATTTATCTTGAATTTCTGCCCACAGACCTGGAGATGCATACCCACGGTAAACATTAAAACTTAACAGCGTCTAAGCATCAGGCACCTCATTTTGTTAACCTCTGAGGTCAGGTCCTCCTATTGGCTGGCTTGTTTCCTGGCTTGCTTTCTGCTGAGGCTGACCTACCCTAGGCACACCCGGTGCTCTGAGGAAATTTCTTCCTGCCGCAGTGACTGAGTCAGAGCAGGAGGAGTGAATCTCTGATGGGCACTTGTATTCTCCCTCCGGCAAAACATGTTTGTGAGCTTTGAGGTTCTCCACATACATGGTCTTTCAAGCCCTGTCAAGGCGCTGGGTTCAACTCAATCTTCAGATGACAGAGCTGCTAATCTGTGTCATTGCTGCACATTTTTGCAGGTCTTTCTTTTCTTAATCGTTTCCCTTGTTCTTTTCTCTTCCTGATTGTAAGAATGTGTTTATAGAATATATAAAGCAGTCTAGAAGTAACAGTGAGAAGTCTTTACTTAGGGAAAATACTTGGGATCAAAGTTATAAAAATATGTAAAACACAAAATTATATTAAAAATCAGAGACTCATTAGATTTTCAAAAGGATCTGTGATTTTCACCACCTGCCCCCCCCCCTCCAAAATTACCATTTAAGGACCCTTATAAAAAAATATACTAAGAAATAATCAAAATGATGTCAAATATAACTAAAGGCAGATTTATTTTTTAATGTCCAGACATGCTGATTTAAGAATTCTAGTTTCTATCTTAATATTTTTATTAACCTTTTTTTTTTTACCAAAAAGTACAGTGTAAAGCCTTAAAAATCTATAGAGCTAGCATGGAAGGTAGAAATTACCCAATTAACTGTACTTGAATAACATGGAAGAGGGCTTGATGGACTTAAAACCCGATTCTGTGATGGTTAATTAATTAATATTAATGAAATCGTTAATTATGTATTAGCTGTTTAGATAATTAAATATTGATAGTCCTCTGCAAGTAAAGTATCAGGTATTTTGGGGACTATATACCTGAATAAAACTGTCCTGGTCCTTAACAAACTTGATGGCTAATTGACATGCACTATAATGAAATACAATATATAGATTATGAGAAAAGGCCAAAAAGTGCTCTAGTGGGATAAAGCATAGAATTCAAGTTGATTTGGGATGTTGCGGGTGTTTCTTTGGAGGAAGGCTTAGCTGGAGCAGTAGGTCTTCGCAGGTTGAGATGCGTGAACAGAGGCAGAAAACAGGGTGGCTTCAGTGTATACTCAACTGTCCAGATTCTTTCCTTTTTGTGGAATTTAAAATGAGTGACTTTTCTTTCTTGCCAGCTCATATAAAAGTCTTATATATATATTCTAGTCTTTTATTGTTGGTGTTTTATGAAAGAATTTGGCATTTGGGAGAAATATATATCATATATCTGGAATTAGAACATTGACTTTCTTTTAGGTAATTTTTTGATTGCAAAGATTTGTATGTTGTCAAGGATTCTAAAGGAAAATAAGTTTAATAAAAAAGGAATTATTAAAGTAATTTTCTTGTTAATTTCAGGCATTTAGATCATCACAAACTGTGGGATCCCAATGAATTTGCAGTTCACTGCTTTAAAATTATAATGTATTCCATTCAGGTAAGTAATTTTGGTTCTGTGTTGATAAACATTTTATCAGAGATATAGAACACTGTAGGACAGTGATTTTCAACCAGTGTACCACGGCACACTGGTGTTCCACAAGAATTGTTAAAACATGCAGTACCTGACTATTTAGTCAGGGGCACTGACCTCTTTTCCCTTAGATTGCCAAATTTTAAAAAACTACAACAGACAACACAACAATAGCCTTTCAGTGTGAATGAATCAGAATGATACCTTTTTTTCTTTTTAGTCAGAGTGGCAAAAACGTATTTGTTGGTGTGCCACAGAATTTTAGTAATTAGTTTATGTGTGGCATGAGATGAAAAAGGTTGAAAATTGCTGCTATAAGATATAAAACATGTTCTTAATTTAGTTGTCTCATTTATTTTTATTTACTACGTAAATTGTTTTTCTTTGCCAGGATGGAAAGATATGTAATAAAAAGAATGAAATGATTATATGATAGTGCTGTTATTGTGCATTTACTTAATACAATGTGCACTTACATTTCACTGATAAACTAGTATTGGAATTGATATTTGTGATGCAGCGTGTAGCTGATGACGACGACCATTTATTGAGTAGCTACTCGGCAGCAGTGCCTGTGTTACCGCCTGGTCTTTGCAGAAGCTGTGCTGGGCTCTCCTGTCCACTGCAGAGGACCCTTTGCCTTCGCTCCAAACCAGAGCAGACCAGTTAGCTCTAATATAAGTGGGATTTTAGGTCAATTTTTACACCGTGTATGTTTTTAACATAAAAGTCATTCATTCGAAGGAGATAAGGTTGTAAGAAACACAACTTTACTATTGGTCATACCAGGATTTATATCCTAGGTGTGCTGTTTACTTAACACTTTTTCAGACTTGCATCCCAATGTCAATTACAGTTATTGATCAAATTTATGTATATTGGTAAAATGTCTGTTGTAAATTGCAAATTTCCTATCTTCTTGATTTAAATTTCATCAGGTACACATTGATAAGATTTTCATTTTGATAATGGCTCATGATTAGATGAAAGCTTTGTTTAGCATTGTTTGTGTTCACAATAAAAAGTAGTATTTATCTAGTTTGGATAGGAGGGACATACTATAAATGTCATGTCTGTTTGTCTTTTAACAAGATTTTGTTCTGTTATCAAATTGTAAGAGTATGTAAGTGTTCTTTATGAAATTACAGAAAAATATAAAGAATAAAAATTTCTCATGAATTCTCCTGCCAGAAATGGCCAGCTTTAGTATTTGGGTATATATAATTCTAGTCTTTTATACTTTTAAAAATCCAGATTGAATTTTATTAAACATAGTTTGCAACTTACTTTTTCACTCAGGGTATCATAAATATTTTCCAGTATCCCTATTTATTCTTAAGAAGGATGATTGTTAATGGCGACATATTGGTCTATGGCATAGTACTGGCTCCTGTAAGTGGACATCTAAGTGTCATGTGGTCTTGTTATGAATTCTGCTGGGATGCATGTAACTGTTCATATGTCTTTGGGCTGTTTTTTTTCTTTCAGGCTCAGTATTCTCACCATGTGATCCAGGAGATTCTGGGGCACCTTGATGCACGTAAAAAAGATTCTCCACGGGTTCGAGCGGGTATTATTCAGGTTCTGTTAGAGGCTGTCGCCATTGCTGCCAAAGGTTCCATAGGTGAGTGCCAGCAGGAAAGCAGAAACAAAGAAACCACTTCTGCCTTATCTATTTCAGAACGTTTCAGTCGATAGCGCAGTGTATGCAAAACCGTCTGAAAATATTTCTAATGTTTTTAAATGTGCTGTAATTTTTCTTGAAATTTTTGGTTCACATGATTATTCTCAGACTTCCTTAGTGTACAATTAACTAAGTATTTTTCCCTCAAATCTCTCCTTCCCTTCCTCCTTTTTTCTAATAAAGATTTTTGGATGCCAATTATAAAGATTTGGGAGGATACAGATAAAAGAAACTTATAGTTTACTTGGAGTTAAACAACTCTACCTAGTACTGTAATGAAAGGCAGAATTGGATCACATGTAAGAAAATCAGGGTCAGAGAAGTGAGGGAAAATGGATTGGCAGGAGCAAATATTATGCAGCCTGTTTGGCTACAAGGTGTGGTGGCTTTCAAGTTCAGGTTGTGGCCAGATCACAGATGCAGCTCTGCGGTTGATTGACACTCATTAAAGAGTTACTATAATCTTTGTCAGATAAGTGTTTTAGGATAATTCATCTGACTGCAAAATGCAGGACATTAGAAATGACGGGTTGTCATCATGGTAGGCATGAGGGAGGGGACTTGATGTCGATGGCAGCGATAGGAATGTCAAGTCAACAGGATTTCATAGCTGACTATAACGAAAAGGGACCGGACAGATGGTGATATTTTTACGTGTACGTGGTTAGAAGAATGGAAGGGTCTTTAACAAAATTAGTGGCATTAGGAGGAAAATCTGGTTATATTTTTTTGGTTCAAAATCAAAGTGGAAATACTCTACTGATACATTCTCACATTCATTCACTGTTAAATAAGAGTAGGCCTTTTGATTTGACTTCTCACTGCTTATCTTCTCACTACTTGTCTCAAAGAGATGGAAGCAGGTTATATCATTGGGAAGTGATGTATGGGGTGCCATGTGCTGGGCTCTGTATATCCCAAAAAGTGTTAGAATGTGGCTGGCTGTCTAGTAATTGAGGCAAATTCTTCCTTCTTCAGCTGCAACAGATGCAAAATAAATTTCCTATGCTACAACGAGCTATAATATCATAATTATATGGATTCTAACCCAACAATCAAGTTAAATGTCCCCATACACATTATTTTGAATAGACAAGATTAGATAGGTAGAAAGTTTTGAGGAATCTTTATAAATATATACACATTTTGTGTGGGTTAGACAGTGATTCAAATTGTGAGCTGCTTAGAGGTGCCAGTTAATGTTTGTTGGAATAACTGGGACTTTAGTTAGATACATCTTGTTTACTTTTTTAGTGAACTGGTTAGTTCATAAATGAGTGATATATTCAGTTACTTAGAACATATCCAGAGATCTCTGGAGGGATTGGGGAGCTGGCTTTGCGTGCACACTGGGAAGGTGGTCTGCTCACCTCCGTGACCCCTGCAGGACCCACGGTGCTGGAGGTCTTCAACACGCTGCTGAAGCACCTGCGTCTGAGTGTGGAATTCGAAGCGAACGATGTCCACGGGGGATCGATGGGCAGCGTCAGCTTAAACTCGGCCTCCAAAGACAACGACGAGAAGATCGTGCAGAACGCCATCATCCAAACGATAGGTGAGGCCCTCTCCCTTCCCAGACGCCCAGGGGAAGCAGCGGGAAGAAGCTCTGTGTGAGCAGTTGGTGTCGGTGTATGGTGACCTGAGCTCTTACTGTGGCTTCTGGATTGACTGGCATTGTTTACGGGTTCACAGTGATATTTTAAGATGGTCTAGCAGATCAGCTCATCTTGTTTTCACAAAGTCAATATAAATTGCTTTTGCATCTTCTAGTTAATTCAGTGTTACCGTTTTACTTTAGAATGTTTAATTTATAGTTTCTCAAGTATTTTATTATAAACGTATATACAACAGATTCGAGCAATATTTCTGTGACATAACACATTCAGAAATAAAATGTGAAAATTAAAACATGACAGAATAAATGCAGCGCAGCACAGAAAGTACGATTTCTATGTAAACCACACTCTGGTTTCCTTGTTGAAGTTCTCGGTGCCCTGGCCGGTGGCAGGTGAGGTGCATATTCCTGGCTGTTGGCCGCGGGACATGCTGCTGTAGCTTCAGCACTGGAAGTTCGGAGGCTTCTGGCCACGTTGTTTCTTTTAAAATTACCAAAACGTAGCTCCCTGTGGTGTTCCTGGGGTCATTGGCGTTGTTATTCAGCAGTTCCAGTACAAGCAGTGGGTACAGAGAATGAGTCACTCTCAGGACTCTCCTCACAGTGGTCATGCTAGAGACTTTATGTCCTGGTGGTAACGACAGTCTCCCTGGGAACAGAAAGTCAGTGTCCAGTTTGGTAGGGTGATTGGAAACATTTCTAATTGGATTCCTGAAGGGTTAAAAGTACCTTATAAGGAGGAAGGAGAGAGTGATAATGGCATAGGCCTCGTCTTAGGCTAATGTTAATATTAGCTGTGTAGTTTCTTGTATGAGTTCTTAACTTCTCTTGTCCTCACATCCACTAGACGAAACTGAGGCTAATAATAGTAACTAGTCTCATAAGGTTGTTGTGAGGTCCAAATACAAAGGAGTTTATTTCCCCAGAAATATGTGTTCCTTAAGTGTCAGCTAGAATAATACATTTTATGCAGATTGAATAATATTAAGATCATGAGATTTTTTATTGCTGAAGTATGTGATAATGGGAAATGGTTTTTAACTCATGTCCAATCAAAATCATGAGTAGAACAACTTGAGTTTGTATAAGTGGATTATTACTAACTCCAACTAGGGGCCCAGTGCATGAATTCATGCACCTTGAAAGGAACTGTGGGCCACACACAAAGCTGCTGTGGGCACAGGGGTGGGTCTCAGCCCATCTTAGGTGCCCCCGCCTGGCCCCTCCCTCTGCAGGAGGGGGAGGTGGAGAAGCCCTGAGGGGTGATCAGAGCCGGCAGCTGCTGCTCACAACTGCTGAGGGCATCAAATGATCGGGGCCAGCGGTTGTGAGCAGCCGCTCTGGCACCAGCAGCAGGTGCAAGCACCCAGCAGGACCGCAGTGCGTGAGAGCAAAGAATTTTCAGTAACCACCAGAGGCTCGCCCCGATGACAGCAATCAGTGCCCCACCTTGGTCTGGTGTCCCCGCTTACGTGTCCCACCATCCCGCCATGGCCGATTCCTGCCATGTTCCGCGCTCTGCTGCCTGCTGCCAACACCCGTCATGTTCCATGCACACCCCCTGGTGGGTCAGCACACATCATGACTGGTTGTTTGATTGTTCCCGTTCAGTCTATTTGCATGTTAGGGTTTTATATTTATAGATAATAGGGGCTGATGACAAGTCAGAAGGTCTCTGTAATGATTTTGTTGTACATTTTAAGATGTGAACAAAAATAGCCATGATTTGATATCTGTTCTGAGCTTTCAAAGAAACAAAAAGTTTGAAGTTTGAGTAAGTGTTAATTAAATCTTGTAAGTATTTTATGACCAGGAAGTAAACCTTCAAAACCTAGCACAGGTAAGCTTAAAATATCCACAAAACCCAAGAGTTCATGAGAAAAATGACAAACAAGTTACTGTTTTTAACATCAGCTGAATTATGTGTTTCGAATTAACTCACAGAGTTAAACTGTATCTTGGCCTATTATGACATTCTAAAACATTTAACAATCCCTGGAAACCAAGGCAGTGGCCTAATTATTGACCTCTTTACCTGTGTCCTCATTATTGACTTCCTTACTAGAATAAGAAAGTAGGCTCACAGCATATGAACAAGAGTTCATTAGAAATACTAACAAAAGGTGTTTTTTTTTCCTTTTTCTAAAACTCCAACTCAAATTGATGATGATTTGCCACTGTTAACTATATGCAAAAGACTTATTAGTCCATTATATAAATCTTATATTGTCTATGATTAAATGATTTTGATTAAATGAAATTTTAATATCATTAGTGTTTAAAGACATTGTTTACCACATATTGAAAGATTTGGTTTAAAATATTTTTTTACTATATGGAAAAATTTCAATTTGTAAAATTTATCTTAATACTTTTATAGGGTTCTTTGGAAGTAACCTACCAGATTATCAGAGGTCAGAAATCATGATGTTCATTATGGGGAAGGTACCAGTTTTTGGAACATCCACTCATACTTTGGACGTCAGTCAACTAGGGTATGCATATGTGGTTTTCCAGCTATAAATTTCAACTTAATCTTGGTTTAATTTCATTTTAAAGAAATCTAGAAAGTGTTGTATTGTTCCTTTAATCACTAGTACTAAAAGTTCTGTGGAAAGCAGTATGTTTATGGTGCTAGATTGCTAAGCAATTGAATCAGCATTGTATGCTTTTAGAATCAGTTTTCAGCATATCATAAATTCTCTAATTTTCTGTGTCTTTTATGGACCAAGTGGAAGGTTTATTTAGCCTGGATATTGTCTATATACATGGATATTTAGGGTAAAGCTTCAAGTTTTCTG